CTTCTCCTTCTCCTTCTCCTTCTCCTTCTCCTTCTCCTTCTCCTTCTCCTTCTCCTTCTCCTTCTCCTTCTCCTTCTCCTTCTCCTTCTCCTTCTTCTCCTTCTCCTTCTCCTTCTTCTCCTCCATGGGTTTGGGCAGTTTTCTGCCATTGGATAAAAAAGTCCTCATGTGGGCACGGGTGGTTGGTTATTGGGTTAAAAGTGAAAGTAATTTAGGTGTCATTTCTTGGTTGGACAGTTTCTCCTTAAAAGGCCTTGTAGAAAGAGAGGCACAGCTCCATTTCCAGTGTGTCAGAGTGAAGTGCTGCAGAACTCAGGGTTTGTGGGACTGTGACAGAGATAAGAACTAACAAACACCTGAGTCCAAATGAGAAATAACATCTCACGATTTAAGCCTGACCCTGGCAGAAAAGAAGCAAAGATTCTGCACCTCCCAAGGGCTCTTGGCTTTCCTGAGATGAGGAATGCATGGAATGGAGGATCATTCCTTTGGGGTGGTTCTTCATGGAATCATCTAGGTTGGAATGAAGGATCTTTACCCTGGGCTGTGGTTTGTCATGGAATCCTTTAGGTTGGAAAATTCATTTAGGGTCCTGGAAGGGTGGAATGAAGGATCTTTACCCTGGGCCGTGGTTCTTCATGGGATCCTTTAGGATGAAAAAGACTTGTAGGATCTGGAAGGTTGGAATAAAGGATTGTTACCTTGGGCTGTGGTTCTACATGGAATCCTTTCGTTTGGAATAAAGGATCATTATCATAGGCTGCAATTCTTCACGGAATCATTCAGGGTGCAAAACACCTTTAGGATCCTGGAAGGTTGGAGTAAAGGATCATTGTGGTTTGTTATGGAATCCTTTAGGTTGGAAAATGCACTTAGGGTCCTGGAAGGTTGGAATAAAGGATGGCTACCTTAGACTGTGGTTCTTCATGGAATCCTTTAGGTTGGAGTAAAGGATCAATATCTTGAGCTGCAATTCTTCATGGAATCATTCAGTATAGAAAAGGCCTTTAGGATCCTGGAAGGTTGGAATGAAGGATCATAACCTTGGGCTGTGGTTTGTCATGAAATCCTTTCATTTGGAAAAGACTTAGGATCCTGAATCCAGATGTGAGGTGGTTTCTCCTGGCTAGACAGGATGCAATCCTTGGAGGCAGAAGGAAACCAGTGGCAGCTGGGATGTTTATCTTCCCCTGTCTTGAAATGTTGATTTTCTCCTGGCTTTGAGGGAGGTGGCTCTGGGTGTGCCCCCGACAGGAGGGGTTTGCTGGAGATAAACTGAGATTGTCACTGCTCTGGCCAGGGGCTTCTGTGGAGCTCAGATGAAGCCCCAGAAACAGTTTGGTCACTCTTTGGGCCAGCAGAAGGGAAGGTTTGGGTTGAGTTTAAGGGAATTTAGTGGCTTAGACTCCATGTGAAGCAAATACAGGCTCTGTGTAAAGTGTGAATAATCTGCAGAAGTGACCCAATCCTGTGATTGTAACCCAGTTCCTGTCCCCTCAGCAGGGCCACGCCAGGACTCCCCTGCTGGCGCTGCAGCTGCTGGATTTCTGCCTGAGCATCCTCACCCTGTGCAGCTCCTACATGGAGGTGCCCACCTACCTCAGCCTCAAGCCTGTGGACAGTGGGGTAGGTCTGGAGCCAGCTCTGCTCATTTCCCACACTGGGAACTCCTATAAATTCCCATTCCATGGCTGTGCAGCTTCTCTGGAGCACCCCAAGCTGCTCAGTTTGACAACAAAGATCGTTTTCCATGTTCTCCCCAGCACTGCTCCTGACTGACAGCTCCTGTGTTCCTTAAAAATAAACCTTGTTTCTCCTTATAGGGGTCTGATGGATGCAAATTGTGGAGCTGCCTGCATGGAAAATGCCTCAAATTTCATCTTTATTAAACAATCTTATTTAATAAGTCCTACCTCAGTGTTGTTTTCAACAGATGGAATCATCTCATTCCTAGGGAAGGATGGAGACACTGATTTAAGGCCCTGGTATCACAGTCCCAAGTTTCCCCCTCCAGAGAAAAGAGCAGGAAAATCCCAGTCTGGTGGCAAAAGTGGAAATTAAATTTTTAAAAGTTAATTTAAACAGTGCTTTGCCCAAGGAGTGGAAGCAGCAAGAAGAAAACAATACCCCTGTGACGCTGCTGCCAGTGAAAATTCCTCATTCCTTGTTCTGTCTGAACCTTGGACCCCTCTCTGTGGGTGCCCCTGGCAGAGGGAATGAGTGTTTTGGGCTGACACCTGAGTGTTTTGGGCTGAGACCTTCTCCCTTTTCCCCCAGGGCTCTTTGCCAGCCCTGGAGAAGCTGCCAGCAGAGGAGTATGCCAAAGTGATGATCACCTTCACCATCGCCTTCGTGGCTGTGCTCATCCTCAAGGTAAGGACTTCCTCCTCTGAAGTGGGGCTTCTCCAGGAAAATTCAGCTTTAATTCTCTCCCAAATCTGCCTTGCTGGGTGTCCTAGATTAGAGGAAATTTGGGAGAAAACCTCTGGAAGGAGCCCCCAGAAAACAAACCCCCACAGTCCCTCCTGACTCACCTGGTTTGGGAAAAATTTTCTCTGAGAGAAGTGGAAAAGAACCTGTTTATTTAACAAACAAAGCACTCCCCAGCAATGAACAACACCAGATGACAAAAAAACCCTTTCACCACTCTGCAGAGATGAACAAATCCAGAAAGTCTTTCCTGGGAGTGGCCGCCGGGTCTGGGCGCTGGGGATTGCTCTGGGCACTGGGGATGGCTGCTGCAGATCACAGAGCGCAGGCTCTGGGTGCTCCTCGGGGTTCCCAGGTCCTGTCCAGAGCAGGTTGGAGTGACATTCAGGAAAGGGAAAGGGAAAAGAAACAGTCCAGGGAAAGAATTGGACACTGCTGAGCTAAACTAACTCAAAAGCAAAGGCAAAAGCAGAAGCAAGAGCAAGCAAGCAAAGCAAAGCAAAGCAAAGCCAGCACCAGCCTCTTCTAGACAACAGACCATGAGGGAGGTGAGCCGGCTGATAACAAGACAAAACAAACCTTCACTTTCTGAGTCGGTTCTGAAAGCACAGAACAGAATTATCAAACACACACAGAACACACGACTGGGGATACAAACACCATAACGTCACCCCATGACACTGGGCTCTCCTCAGGTGTGGGAAACTTTGAGATAAGAAATGCTGACTTAGAAATGCCATAGAATAGACTTTGTTGAGAGAGAAGTGGAGCTAGAAACAAGTTTCAAAAGACAGCCTTGCAAATAAAACTAGATGCTTTGGAGAGGCAGAACTATGAAAGATGCAGTGCAGTAGGGCCCAGGAGGGATAATTTTAGGTGATTGGCTTGAAGGCATTTACAGCACGGTGTGGCTAAAGCTGATAGGCCAAGAAATGCTTCTAATAGTTGGCTTTTGATTGTGATAGTGTGAATTTTAACATTGTATTGTCTCACCCTTCTCATGAGACTGAAAATGGAATAAAAGTTTTTAAAACACCTCTCAGTTACCCCACCTCTGGGTCAGAAAAAGCTTAATCCAACACTTGGGCACAGTGGGAGCTGTGCCTCCATACGGTTTATCCAAATCTCTGTCTTTACTCTTCTGTGTGAGTTACGAAGCAAAATCCCTCTTACATCCCCAAATCATCACTGTCCATTCCTGTCAAGGAGGAGAAAAAGGTCGAAAAAACCACAGCAAAGTCCCCTGCTGTAAAGTGCCCAAATAAATGAGATTATTGAGCAGCAGGTGAGATCCTTCAGTGGGTGAGTGGCTGTGCCCTCTCTGATGGGAGCAGGGTTCTGCACCCTGATACTCCCAAAGTTCATTAAAGCCAGGAGCTAAGCCCTGCTGGTGCCTCAGGAAGCTCCACTAGAGACGGGTCTTATTCTTCTGTTGCTTCAGTGCCTCAGAGAACTGATTTTTCACCTTCAGGCCCACGAAGAAAACCAGAGTCTTGCAGGTACTTGGGCAGAAAGTGCTGCTCGTGAGCTGGAAACCATTTTCTCCTCTGAGCCCTCCAGGTGGGCCAGATAAGCCAGTGGGGAGTGGAGAGTTTTGTATGGATGCACTCCAGGCATGGCTTTAAAATCTCTTTTAACATTTGCACGGAATGTGCAGCCGGAACAAAGATAACCCGGAGCCCCAGCTGGCAGGAATCTCCCTGCCCTGGCAAATGGATTAATTGGAATTTTCCACAGCTTTACCCACAAAATGCTGGACTTGCAGTGGGTTTTTGTGTTGGGGTTGTAAGAGGAGGGGTGGGGTGTGAAAATAAAACCCCAAAAAGCCACCAGGACTCCCATCCTTTAATCCCAGTGCCAATCCCTCTCCTCTTCCATGGGTAAAATCCCATGGAATTCTCTCCCTGCAGCCTCCCAGCTCAGGGCAGCAGAGGGCTGGCTCTGCTTTACCTGTGGCGGCAGAATCAGTTCAGAATTCCATGGAAAAATATTCCAAGGGCAGGGTGATGCTGCCATTGCACCATTAGGGCAATTCCACTCTGCATCCGTGAGTGATCCTAAATCCATGGGCTGAGGGGGTTGGAGGCACCTTTAGGTTCTTCTCACTTCCACTGTGCCAGGGGCTCCAGCCTGGCCTTGGACACTTCCAGGGATGGCAGGTGGGCAAGTATTCCAATTTATTTCCCTTTGGAATGACAAAGGCCTCCAGTACCACAGGGATAAGAAAGCAGAAATTAAGGGGAATAAAACATCCCCTGTGATTTTGATTTATTTCAAAACCAAAATCGGGAAGTGCATTCCTTTTTGTACTATTTAAATTTATTTCAAAATCAAAATGGGGGAATGCATTCCTTTGTTGCATGATTTTGAGGTATTTCAAAACAAAAATCAAGGAATGCAGTCCTTTGTTGAGTGATTTTTATTTATTTCCAAACCAAAATTGAGGAATGCATTCCTTTGTTGTATGATTTTATTTCAAAACCAAAATCAGGGAATGAAGTAGTTTGTATGATTTAATATCGAAACTAAACTCAGGGAGTGCATTCCTTTTCTGTGTGGATTTTATTTATTTCTTAGATTTATTTTTTTAAAGACTTTTTATATTTCTAGGATTTTTTTCATGCATAAGTGGAGGTTTTTACCCAGTTTCTATGACAGCTCCAGATTTGCTCTCTGGATGAGGAGGCTTTGGAAGCAGGAAGGGTTTTGCAACATTCCCAAAAGATGCTCAAAGTTTGGATTTACCTCCGATCTCTGGAATGCTGAGATTGATTTTTTTCAGCTCAGATATTTCATTCATTTTTTTCTCTTTCTCTTGGCTTGGCGGCAGCACAGACAGCCCCCATTGTCCTGGGCATGCTTAGCTGCACAGCCCAGGTTTGGGATCTGTGGCTCCCTGTGTTCCCTGAAAATCCCAACTGCTCCCGAGCACCTTCCCAGGCCAACACAAACACCAGGCACACGACTCGTGCTGCTCGGAGCAGGGAAAATATTGATTTAACAGGGCCAGCCCCACAGACCCCGCTTATTTCCCTGGGCCACAACCCCTCAATCAACCCTTTTTCCTCAGAAAATGGATAAATATCCATTTATTGCATGGATAAATCCATGGGGTGCCAGAAGGTCCTGTCAGGGAAGTGTGAAAATGGGATTTTGCTGAATGAAGGGATTTTTGGGGCAGTCCTTGTATCTCTGTGGAGCCTCTGGTGCTTTCCTGAGGCAGCCAGACTTTGTAACCTGCTCTGAAAAACGACATCAAGGCCATGATTTCCTTTCCTACCTCGGGATATTGTGATCTCAGAGGTCTCAATGGATTTTATGTTTAATCATTTTATATTTCCTGGATTATTGATCCCAGTTCCACCCCAGAGTTGTGATGAGATTATTTTATGTTTACTGGATTTTCAGTCCCACCTCAGTGTTTTGAATTAATGGAATCCAGAAATTATAATGTGCTCTGAAAAATGATATCAAATCCACTATTTCCTTTCCTACCTGTGGATATTGTGATCTCAGAGCTCTCAGTGTTGTGTTTTAATGGATTTTATGTTTAACCATTTGATATTTACTGAATTACTGATCCCAGTCCCATCCCATTCTGAATTCATGGGCTCCAGACTTTGCAACCTGCTCCGAAAAATGACATCAAGGCCATGATTTCCTTTCCTACCTGCGGATATTGTGATCTCAGAGCTCTCAGTGTTGTGTTTGAATGGATTTTATCTTTAATCATTTGATATTTACTGGATTACTGATCCCAGTCCCATCCCAGCGTTGTTCTGAATTCATGGAATCCAGACCTGCTCTGGAAAATGACATCAAGGCCACAGTTTCCTTTCCTGCCCAGGATATTGTGCTCTCAGAGCTCTCCGTGCTGTGTTTAATTTGTGATTAATCACTTCATATTTACTAAATTATTGATCCCAGTCCCATCACATTCCCAGGGAAAGGTGTAGACACTGATTTAAGGCCCTGGGATCGTGGTCCCAAATTTCTCCATCCAGAGAAAAGAGCAGGAGAATCCCGGGCTGGTGGCAAAAGGGGAAATTCCCTTTCTGCCCTGCAGTGCCATGGGAAAATGTCCTTTTCCTTCCCTTTTCCCTCTTTTCCAGGCCTACATGTTCAAGTGTGTCCTGAGCTGCTTTAAGTTCATCAAGGCCAGCAGGAGGGATGAGGAGAAAGTGGAGCCACACACAGTGGAAAAGGTGAGGAAAAGTGAATTTACCCCGAAAGTGGAGCCAAAACACTGGAAAAGGTGAGGAAAAGTGAATTTACCCCGAAAATGGAGCCAAAACACTGGAAAAGGTGAGGAAAAGTGAATTTACCCCGAAAGTGGAGCCACGCACAGTGGAAAAGGTGAGGAAAAGGTGAATTTGTTCCTGGAAGTGGAGTCACAAGCAGTGGAAAAGTGAATTTTCTCTGGAATAACTCAGCCCTGCAGCTCCACCAGCAGAATTCCTACAGCAAAGGGATCAGCCAAAAATCCCCCAGGAATTGCACTACCATTTCCACAAGAAGTGGAAAAGGGGTGTAAAAATGAATTTATTCCTGAAAATGGGCTCAAAAGCAGTGGGAAAGATGAGGAAAAGTTTATTTATTCCATGAACAGGAATCCTTTAGACTGGTGATCCTTATCTCTCCTTTTTTTGGGATCTGATAGAATTTCCAACCCTTCAAATCCCCAGTAGCAAGTGGCAATAATCAGCTTTTAATCACAATATATTAATTTAATTTTACTTCTGCATAAAACCTTTAAAGTCAATGTGCAAGAAGGTGAAAGACAGGCATGGCAGATAAATTCCTGATCCAGGAATTTGGGGTTAATTCCAGCGGGACTTTGGTTTCCATTGCTAAAAGTGTTTAAAAACAGCTTTTTCTTCATTTTTTCCGTCAGAGAGTTTGGGATTTTCAGTGTTGGAAGGATGGGTGGGAAGGAAAGAGGGAGGGACACGGAATGCTGAGGGGTTGGGAATGCTGAGGGATTGGGAATGCTGAGGAGATGGAATGCTGAGGGGATGGAATGCTGAGGGGATGGAATGCTGAGGGATTGGGAATGCTGAGGGTATGGAATGCTGAGGGATTGGGAATGCTGAGGGGATTGGGAATGCTGAGGGTATGGAATGCTGAGGGATTGGGAATTCTGAGGGATGTGGAATGCTGAGGGATGGGGAATGCTGAGGGATTGGGAATACTGAGGGATTGGGAATGCTGAGAGATTGGGAATGCTGAGGGGATGGAATTCTGAGGGATGTGGAATGCTGAGGGATAGGGAAAGCTGAGGGATGGGGAATGCTGAGGGATGGGGAATGCTGAGGGATTGGGAATGCTGAGGGATTGGGAATGCTGAGGGATTGGGAATGCTGAGGGATTGGGAATTCTGAGGGATGTGGAATGCTGAGGGATGGGGAATGCTGAGGGATTGGGAATGCTGAGGGATGTGGAATGCTGAGGGATTGGGAAATCTGTGCCCCTCTGCACAATTCCTCAGCTTCCCCCGGGAATGAGGCTGGGGTTCCGCACAGTCAGGAGCCTTGAGCCATCCATTGTGCCGGGAACGGGGGCAGCACTGGCACACGGGGGATCCAAGCCCCGCAGGCCCCAGCTCTGCTGGATTTCTGCCCCTCGTGCCCCAGATCCCAAGCGGTTCCCTGTCCCTGCTTGGAACCAGGCAGAGGAGCCCTGGTGTGTGGAAGAAAACAACTCTACACTTGTCCAAGTTGTGAAGTTGGTCTGATTTATTTCAGTGTTGGACACATGCGGGATCGCTCCCCCAAAGGACAGTGCACCTCTGAAATTCTTGAGTCTATTTTATCCCCTAACCTCTTGCATATGCATAAAGTTTCACGACAGGTTCATGCATATTTATTTCCTAGCCCCGTTTCATATTAAAACTGTCTCATCAGTTTTTATGAGCCTGTGCAGTTCTCTAGTAACGTCGTTGTAACATTGCTGTGTCTCCAACTTAGCTTTAGTTTTCTTTTTAAGGCTGGTGGGGCCCCTCCTTATCTCTCTTTAATTTAGAAACTTGTGGGTTTTATAAGTAACTTTAATTTTTTTTGTTTGTTCTGTAGGTTTTCTGTGAGCACAGTAAGTTAGTACATGAAATAAGCTTAGCAAGCTATAGACAAAACAAGTTAAAACAGCACTCTTGAGCTAAATCTGAATTAGTTTCTCCTTCAAGTTGGATTTCTAACTCTCTGTCTCAGCCCCCCAGGATGAAATCCCTGTGATGCCATGACCTTTGGTCTCTTGCAGGCCGTGCTGCCGTCCTATGAGGAAGCCCTGGAACTGCCTTCCAAGGACTGTCCCCCTCCCTACGTGACCATCTGAGCCCGGCCTGGGGGAGAGCTGCACCAGGCACTGCTGCTGCCCCTCCCCGCGGAGCCCAGAGCTCACCCAGAGCCGCTCCCAGCTTTATCCAGCCACGTCCTGCCAGGGAACTGCGGGGCCTTGTCCCCCAAAACTTCCTGACCCTGGCACCCCAAGTTCCTGACCCTGGCACCTCAGTTTATTGACCCTGTCACCTCCATTTCCTGTACCTGGCACCCCAAGTTCCTGACCCTGGCACCTCCATTTCCTGACCCTGGCACCCCAAGTTCCTGACCCTGGCACCTCCATTTCCTGACCCTGGCA